AACTGCATGTTATGTATTATAAAAGCTGCTTGCTGAAAATTAATTGAGTATTCCCATGCTAGATAATGTTTCTACATTCCCTGGAGCCCATCCCTTTGCGTGTGAGTGTTTTCCCAAGTGCAATGCAGATGCCAGAGAAAAGGTGAATATATAACATATGTAAGACTGGCTCTATCAGACTCAATATAGTATCAAGCTAGCTGGCTTGCATGGTTGTCTATCTGCCTACATGATGTGTAGCAGAAGAACTGCTGGGCACAAAAGGAAATGTATTTTCACAGGCAGAAAAACAGAAGCATTTCTATGCCATGATAGTATTTAAAAAATATGCAGATGTTTTCACATTTCATCCTACAAGCTACATAGCAATGGCATATTAGCTGCTCCAGATAAACAGAGTCGCTTTAGGCAGCAAACTGGGTACCATACTATGCCTTAAAGGGCCATTTGTTTACATATATCGTGTTCATCTTCCATCTTGTTCTGGAGACAGCCGTCTGATCTTAAAAAATGTAGAAAAGCAGGGTTTAGACAGATTTTCATTTATTTGCCAGAAACAGCAGTTTGGGGCAACCTGAAGCTATTGTTCATTTGTCCAGTGGCTGAGGCCATATTTAAAGAAAAACCATGGAAATATGAAACAGACCATAGATTCACAGGGACTTAGATGGCCATGGTGATGGTGACACTCTCTCTAATTATTTGGAACCTTAGTTATCTGAAGTATGGGAGATACATGTTCAAATCCCCCATCCACCCTGCCTTATTCAGAGAAAAGATATGACCTGAGGTTGGTCTCTCCCAGGTGCTATTACCAACAAACTGTAGGATATTCTGGGTGGGGGCACTCTCAATCTTTCTGATTGAAGCTGTTCCATTTTTATGACATGTTTTACTGTTCTTTGGAGGAAAAGCTAGAATCCTGCCTCCCTGTAAGCCTCCTACACAAGGCTATAGAGTCTCTCTTTCTTCCCTCTCTTCACTATACAATGGTGAGGGCACTTACTTGATATGTGGACAGCCCAAGTTCTGGCTCTGAATGAAGTTTAATCACTGGGACTTGAGTGGGAGACAGCACCTTCTCAAGGCCCAAGTCTCCTTGTGAGTCTAGTGTTAAGTATCAAGAAAGATCTGAAAATGAAACAAAACAGTTCATTTCATATCAAAGGAAATATTTCATTTGACCCCAATTGAATTCTTCTGGTGGAATATTCCAATAAACTTCCATTTCAGGTCAATCCAGAGTGCTTGTGCTTGTGCTTGTGCTTGTGCTTCTGCTGCTGATCTTCCCAGGTTCTGTTCCCCAAAACAGCCTGTTGCACACTGATATAACTTACTGCCTTTCTTTATTTTATTTTTTGCTTCAGCCACCAAGCCAAAATGTTGATTTTTTTAAAAATTTTTTTGTACAGCCCTATAGTAGTCATTCCTAAACCCACGGGGCTGGTATGGGCCATAATCTTAAAGAGGGATTTCATGATACTCATGTGATTTCCCACCCTAGTTAAGAATGAGAGGTATTGACTTGAGAAAGAGTTTAGTGTATCCATTTAAACTTCCTGAGGTGAGGCTCAAGCATGACTGAGGGTAGCAGTGGGATTTGAAAGGCTCCTGTCCCCTTCTGAAGCGCCTTGACTATATTAATTGGGGTTTTGCTCACTGATCCAGAAGACTGTTTATAGTGAAGCTTCACCTTGGCTCTTTTATAAATGGCAAGAAAAATGTTGCAGGGCAACATCTCAAAATTCATAGGCGATCTCATAATTCATGGATGACATGGGCAACTGGTGCCACCTTAGCTGAGGGGGCCACGTGCCCCCCGCTGCAACCAGTCCTGCTGACTGAGGGGGTCCCACAGCCGATATCGCTGCCTGGGGGGGTCCCCCCATGGCTGATCTTGCTGCCCAGGGGGACCCCCACAGCCAATCTCGCGATGGCCGATCACTGTGGCCAATCACTGCAGCCGCTTCCAGGAGTGACTATGGCCGCTTCTGGGAGCGGCTGCAGTGATTGGCCAGCACTTGCAGGGTGGGCACTGGTGCTTTTGCCTGCCCCCCCCGCCCATCACCTAAACAGCGCGTGCAGCCAGCCAGGGGGTGCACCGGCACTCTCAGGGGGTGCACATGCACCCCTGTGCACCCCCTACGCATCACCACTGTAATTCATGATGTGGTTTGTAATACCTGGAGACTAAGTTTAAAAAAAAATGAAAGCCCTAGAAAGTAAAATACCATGGGACTTCCCTGCCTGTATGCCTCACCAACTTTGGTGTAAGGGGGAAGCACTTCTCTAGGGTCAGTATGTCACTCAATCTCTCTACCTATGAAATGCATCTCTTCTTTGCTATGACTGCTCGGAGGGGGGGAGGGGGCAGAACACTTTAATTAAAGAGCCACAGCACTTTGTGTATTCAGCGTCCCATGCTTCAAAATGGCAGTGGAGGTGCTCTAGTTAAAGCAAGCTTTAGTACGAGCTTTAGATGAGCTTGAGCTTTAGATGAGCTTTAGTTAAAGTACCCCAGCCTCCATTCTGAAGCACAGGGATGCTGAATACATGAGTCACAGAGGCTGCTGGAGCATGCTATTTATCATGCTTCAGCAGACTCGATTAATTGAGTCAGCTCCGACACGCTGTAATTACAGCATGTCAAAGCAGCATCCCTGAATACCTACAAGCACCCTGTGTTATTTGTATTTAGATATTTGGCCCTTGTGACATAGAATGACAGTCCCACTGGGCCTTCCTTTCCCCTGGCCCACAAAACATACCTGTCAGTCACTACCAGCATTGGAGGGTCACACTGAAATCACTTGCCTCATGCTGAATGATTTTGTGTTCCCTGAATTGTTGCCAAGGCCTCAAACATTTTTTGCATGTGGGACTTCTATTTTAGATCAGCTTGCAAAAATAAGGGATTCTGGCAGCTAGGAGACCCAGTTCTCCCTCATATTCACTTTATAACTGTGGCAAATCACTTTGCTTTTCTGTGCTTGTTAAGCAGAAGGAATACTTACCCTCCAAATGCTTCACATCGAGATGTTCTTAAGATGAAAGGTGGCAAGTTACATTTATGTGCAATGAGTCTATTTGGGGGGACAGACCCTGGGAAAAACTTTCTCACTAGGGGGTAGTAAAGCACTGAAACAAATTACCCAGAGAAGTTGTGGAATCTCCATCCTTAGAGGTTTTTAAGACCCAGCTAGATAGTGCCTTGGCTGGGACGATACAATTGGGGACGGTCCTGCTTTGAGTAGGGGCCTGGGCTAGATGACCTCATGAGGTCCTTCTCAAACCTAATTTTCTAAGATTCTATGAACATCAGAAACAAAAGAACAAACATCTGACACTCAGCTAAAGGAATTAGAGGAAGGTATGAGCACATATTTAAGCAGTTGTAAGTGGATTGCCAGCATCCTATCCACCAGAGCTGTCAAACTCATCCAGCTCCACAGATCATATTCAGAGCATGGAGCTGGTCTGTAGGCCAGATTCAGAGCCCAAAGCTGTGTCATCTGGCCTGCAGAGCTGCCTGTAGGGCTGGAAATTTGACAGCAGCGGTATTAATTGCTGCTCCTGAAGTTGCAGCAGCTGCTGCTCCTCCCATCGTCAGATATCTGGCCTTGCATGCCAGATGACATGGCTTCACAGGCTGGCCCCAGCCTGTAAGGCTTCCCATTTTGGCTGGAAATTTGGTGAGTGGACAAGTGGTGGCAGCACTAATTGCTGTGGCTCTGGGGCTCATCTAATTACCAAATCTACAGCCCCATGGGGAGTCCTGTGAGGTGGATGAGACAGCTCTTGGGTCATGTCTTTGACACTGGTCTATAGACTAGTGGCTTTCAACCTGTGGTCCACATACCCCTGGGGGTCCACAGACTATGTCTAAGGGTCTGCAAAAGATTACTATAATCAATCAAAACCATGTGAATACTGACACTTACAATTCAAAGGTTTCCACACCTCCATTTGAAATTTCCAAAGGGGGCCGCAAATGGAAAAAGATTGAAAACCGCTGCTATAGACTAAGCCAGAAGCTTGTGCCAGTGTTACAGGCCCACAGGAATAGGAATGCTGTTGTTTTGTCAGGAACCAAAGCCCAAGTCTTCAAAAGTATTTGAGTATTCAGTTATAACAGTGGGAGTTACGCACCTAAATACTTTGAAGATCTGAGTCTTACCATCAAATGCGGAGGGGGCAGGGCTGGAGCACAGAGTCCTCAGTTACCAAGAGCATAGCAGAGGCCCTACTCCTGGAGCTAGGTTGTATCAGTCTAAGTAGCCAGCTCAGCCTCTTCAAGCTCCAGCCCCTAGAGAATGATGTGGTCATAAACACTTAACCCAGTCGCTTTAGCTGAATCACTGAGCTTCAGCTTTAATATCGTTCCAAGATGGGAAACCAGAAAAGTTTGATTAGTGTGATCTTTGAACTTTCCAGAAAACGCAAAGGACTTGAGGAAGTATTCACATAGTTATAATTCTGTTACCCTGTGTGGCATTTGCTAATTCTTGCTGAAATGCTGTGTTGTCTTATTAACAAACTAAGCAATGAAAGCTTGTCTTCTTTCAAAGAAAGTTATTAGTTATGGGTTATTGTCAGGGCCGGATTAATGCATAGGGAAACTAGGCCTAGGGCCCTGAGTTGTGGGGGGTCCACTCTTTCCTCCACAGCAGCAGCGCAAATGGCCTTGTCCCACCTCCCTTCCTCTCCCCTCCCCTTCTCCGGCCTCACCGCCACAGCAGCTGCTTCCTAGCAGTGGCTCCAAGCCCTGTTCCCTGCAGGCGGTACTGCTGGGGGGGAGGGGGAATCTTGATGAGTTTGTTTGCGTAGAGGCCACTAAAGGGTTAATCTGGCCCTGGTTATTGTGTAATGGATAACTTCTCAACATTTTATACTATGAGCAATATAGGGAGGATCTATACAGTATAAGGTTGTTTTAAATAAAAAAATAAATAAAACCTCAGCTGTCTCATTTAAGAACTTGACAGCAAAAGCTCTGAATGTTACTGTTCATCTTTTTTTATTACTCAGCATTGTTTTTGTTTTACATCAGGAATGAAACCTCATCTTTTTCATTGAAATGGTTTATAACAAAGTGCTGAATGCCATTGTTCCTCATTTGCCTTTTATCATGACAAAACACAAAACTTAGACTGTACAGTGCCATCGCTGAAGGGCGGTGTCCTTGTCTGATCAGCAAGCAGCTGCTCATCTTCCCGCTTTGAATGCTCTGCATTAAGCGCGTTGCTTTCAGCCTCTGACAGATAACAAGCGAGAACAAAAAGGAGGTGTGAAAAAAGCCAGTAAAATCTCCAAGCAGTCCTCAGTCCTGTGAACAGCACTAGCTTATTAGCCATCCCATGAGAAAGTGCTGGCAAAATTGATGGTGCCCTTTCTTAGGCTCTTGCACTGTCCGGTGAGAACAGCTATTCTCATGGGCAAGGCTGATTGCATTCAGGGCAGGTTTATCTGACACAGCTGCGACTTTGTTTCTGCTTTCTGCTGTCATCTGTCATGTATCAGGTTCTGTACTCCCATGTAACAAAAGCAGCACCACAAACTAACCCTCCAAGCAAAAGCGAGCTATGAACCAGCTCACTAAGTGGCAGGGAGAAGGAAAATGTGGAGTCTAACTGAGGCAAAGGGACAGACATGAGGTGACAAGGAGAGTACAAGGATAAAAGTGGAGGGCATGTTCCTTGTCACTCTCTGTACCACCTTTCCAGCAGATCGGAGGCAATACTGAGAGGCTCTAAAGTGAAGTTACGTTCTAGACAGCCAACAGCCCTCCAAGCAATTCCATCCTGCCTGCAAAGCCCGGATATCTGTGGCATTGCAGCAGTGGCAGGGACTCGGTGGCAGCTGGGTCTCTCGTATGTCAGCTGCAATTTGGTGTCAGGGAGAAATGGTGGCTGTGGTGGCCGGGTCAGAAGTGCCAGCCTTCCTTGGACCAAGCTGCATTATTTCAGACCGCTGCTCCAAACAAGTTGCTGAGCCCTGTTCTAGATGCATGGGGGCTGCTGTTTTTAAAACCCGTGTTAGGGTGTTGCTGCCGCCCATCTCTGAGGAGCTGAACACCTCTCAGAACATAGATGGCAAGACTAGTAAAGTCCCTTGTGGACTGCAAGTCCCAGAAAGAGAAAAGGAGGGCTGAAATGAAGCAGAAATGAAGAACCCCCTAAAGATCT